GCATTGGAACTAGACGTTGAACTTGCTAGACCTATGAAGGAAGATAATAAGAAGGAGTAGGATGTGCCGGTTGAACCTGGGCAAATTTTCAGACCGTGGGAAAAAGCGGTATCATTTGCAGGACCAGCAGCACCAGCAGCAAGACTAGCATTGCACATCAAAGGATACCGCTTTTTCCACGGTCGAACAATTTTCGCAGGCTAAACCGGTCAATCCTACTAGTACAACCATCGTGCATTATAGACTTCTTCATCAAACTCTATCGTGCCAAATATCTGTTCTAAGGTTTGATACATGAGATACTAGCCAAGAAAGTAAAGAGTGGTCAATTTTAAATTTTAAACGACCGCAAAAACAGCTCAATTCATATTTTTTTCATATTTCTGGTTTCATTGGAACGGTTGATCACTGACATTCAAAAATGAGACACAGTATCATTCAAATGAATGCCACGACTAGCTCGACAGTACCTCATCAGCTTGTCACTCACACCCGATGGACTGTCTGTCGCTTTGCCTGTCTGCCTGTCTGTCAGCGAATCTTCGGCCCGTCTATAACTTGGAAAGTACTGCTCGGATTTTGGTGAAATTATTGAAAATTGGTCCAGTGGCGGAGCTAGGAGCAAAATAATAATCGCTCAAACGTTGCTCTTCGAAGTTGCAGAGGCTCCTGATCATATTTGAAGAAAAAATTTGTAGAGGCTAAAGATTCTACGCATTTTTTGGTACCTACTATATATCATGATTTCCCTGCAAATTTTCTCTTGAAAATTGAAAGATATCAAACAAATGTATCGCGTACGCTACGAACTTACACCGATGCCCATAAAATCATGTGTTCGACGGCCGTCCAATCTCTCAATCCACCACACTGCTCGAGCTGGTCAGCATAGCATGGCCCACGTAGTCAGATGGTCGATAGTCAGTGAGGACAGGGAAACAATTTCTAGGTCACAGCGGTATCAAATGTCTTGGACTGTTGGGCTCACTTGATCCATTTAATTATCCTGTATTATACATATTCGTAGTTAATTTTTTCTATAATAATAATAATCATTCATGAATTGATAACAGCGTTGCATGAGAAGTGCAGAGTCAACATTCCTGAGACCATTTTCGGCGATTGCTTGGGCATAAACTTTGATTTCGTGTTTCAAGACCTCTACTGTTTCTGGATGGTCGTTATAGCATATTTATCTTTAACGTCCAACACAAAAACGATTCCTAGGTGCTCAAATCGCAGCAGGCCGGTAGGACATTCTGTGGCTTCGCCTCAACTCCAAACCATTCCCCAAATTTATTTGCTGCCAATATCGCCCTTCCCTCGGACCATAACCTGGGTGATCTATTTGAATGCCTCGCTGCCAAGATCGAATTCTTGAACATCAATCATCCTTCTTCAGTGGTAGTTCGTATCGCTGACTTTAATGCGCATCATGAGCTCTAATTGGGCTCCCAACCCAACTGGTGACGAGCCCTACTTTCTTCTCTGCGTTTCGTCACACGCCGGTAGTCTGCTGGATCTTTTTCTGACTACTCATCCTATCCCTTACAGCACTGCTGTCCTGCCTTCCCTGAGTAACTCAGACCACGGTGTTATAGTGGACTGGTTTCGGTCAGATCCGGATGTGGCAACAGAAAGTCGCCCAGATCGCAAAATTTGGAATTACGGACATGCTGGCTGCAAAGGGCTCAAAGACTTTTTCTCCACTTTTCCTTAAAGTGATATTTGTTTTTCTGACCTTGCTACTTTGGCTATCTGTTCTTCAATAACCGAAATTATCCACGTTGGGATGGAGGAATACATCCCTCTTACTGTGAAAGTGCCTAAACCAGGGTCCAACGACTGGTTCAACAAATCGTCCCACACTACTCGTCGCAGAAGACCGAAGTACACAGAACCTTATTACAAAATATTTCTGTAGAGACAAGCCGATGTCGAGTAAAGAAACAAATATAACGAAGCGGCTCGTAATGCCAAAAACTAGCACGTTGGACAAATTATGCAATGGCAGACGGTCTGTCTAGATGCTGACCAAACAGATTTCAATGAACTCTTTAAAGAGCAGCTTTCCAGCGCTCACGTGCCAGAATGGAATGGATCAAGAAACGAGGTTTGAGCAATTTCAGCTTTTTTTTACCTTTTTTGTCCTTAGCTACGCCGCCACTGGATGGTATTTCAAGAAATATAACGCTTCTTCGTCCTGGATATAGTGGTAAAATTGTGTGAGTTTCATAAAAATCCGACGGATACTTTCCAAGGATTACCGGGCAGACAGACAAACAAACATACCGACCGAAATGATTTTTCGTGATGCACCTGTGAAAAAACACTAAAAAAAACATAACAGCTCATTTATGAAATTTTTCGCGATTATAATACTCCGTATATTTCATACATCGAATACTTATTAACATCTTTGAAACACGGGATCACCCGCTTCAACATATTATAACAGTCAATTAATTATCCTTTCGCTGTTGTTGAGGATAAAATTGATCCATCAGATGCAGTAAGCTACATGGTTCTTTGTAACATCGTGAATTACCTATTATGGTTTTTTAGATTAAGTTGCCAGCAAGAAAGCATTATTAGTATGTTATACTGCCTATAATAAAAATGTAATAAAAGACGTATAGAGGAATAAATATTTTTGCTAGTCAGGTAATTTCAATTCTGTCAAGACCTATAAATCATTTATGTGGTAATTTCACGTTTTACAAGCAACAGTTTATCACGTGATACCAGATCAACATCGGTCAGAGGAACTTTTTTTATAAATGTGGAATATTGCAATTTAATCAAAAATGTTAACACATTTTTTTTATATTCCAACTACCACGAAGGCCTAAGGCCTTAACACCCATTGGGTACCGTGGGGCTATCACTAGCAAGACCTAAAATATACAAGTGAAACAGTCCACGTACCCGATTTGTCTGATAACCAGTATCAGAGCTCGAATGTGACAAATAATACCTTCAAAGTGATTACTCCAAAAGGAGGAGTAATCCGACAGTTGTGAAACAATTGATCGAAGGCGAAAAGTAATTTCATCATTTGTTAAAGAGTAGGTAGGGGTCATGAATTTCACTGCATCTCTGCATCTCTGCGTAAGCTCACAGAACTATCGAAAATTTAAAAATCAAAACAATTTTTAAAACATTACATGAATGTACGAGTAAGGCAGATCACTTCGTACTGTCATTTTTCTTGTCGCTAGCTAAGGTTAGTGTATCTTAGACCAGGGTCACATACTTATAAAAAGATTAAAAAGTGATTTGTGACATTGCCTTCTATTTTATATGAATTTTGAGGAAAAATCACATCTTGAAGCTATTGTCCCTGCCTCAAGTTAAAGCCCGCGAATCTCAGCGCAAGCTCGCAGAATTACCGAAACAATTGAAAAAGCTAGTGATATAACAATCCGTTTTTCAAGAATATAGAATATTACTTACTCTTTGTATGAAAAGGCCATCCTGAGGTGATTCTTCTCGCTGCAAGCTGAAGTTCCTGAAAACTCACACCAGCGAATTAAATAAGCTTGTGGAATTACTTTATATTTTACATGAATCTAGGAGACAATTTCGTACATCTTTTCCGCTCCCTGTATAAAAAGCTGTTTTCCTCCTTGCAGCAAGCTCAAGCTTGTAAGTCTCAGAGCATGCTCAAAGAATGAGGAATATGCTTGTTTTTTTTGTATTCTGCCGATTATACTCTTTACTTATAACTGCAATGCCCGCACCTTTCGCGCTTCGCAGTGATGTCATAACTTATGATTTGTCATTTGATTGTATCTTTGATTGTTATGTTGACAAAAAAATGATAGGTTATTTTTATTACTACAAATTACATTGAAAAGCTAGAATGTCAACCTGACAGACTGGCAATCAATGACAGTGAAAAGAAACGCCGACCATTTCAATCGGACTGACCAATCAACAAAGGCTTGACTAGTCACAAGTCACAAATGGTGATGTCATGCCAATTGCGTTGTATTTCAAAATTTTAAATTCACCAAATATTTGTTCGATTTTTTATTAATGGATATTTGTTTACAGTCTACAAGTAAAACGTAAGGTTGAAGGCATTATGTGGAAGCAAAGACCGTAAATAATAATAATTAAGCGATATATTCATATTGTCAAAATATTAAAAATGAGCTTTTGACATCACTTTTCAATAAAATAATCTAGAAGTTGGTTCTTCTCCTTTCAGCAATCTCACAGCAATATCAAAAGGTTGAAAGAAGCTTTTGGCATTACTTTTGTATTTTACATGAACCTGTTAGTTGACCAAATAATATTCTTTAGCTTCCTGCACAAAAGGGCTTCCTGGAGCTATTCCTCTCGTTAATACAAAGATTAACAAAACTAATGACTTTAATTCTACACGAATGTCGGAGCTTGATAATGTTATATTTGCCTGTCCCTATTTAAGAAGCGCCTTCCGTAGCTGTTATTCTCCTTGCTGCAAGCTAGAGTTAGTGAAACTCAGCACAAGCTTACAGAATTATCAAAAAATAAAAATAATCTTGTGACATTACTTCGCTTTACACAAATCTTGGAAGTGAACATAGAATACAATATTCTCCAGCCTGCTATATCAAAAAAGAATCCTGAAGCTGTTCTTCCTCTTGCTGCAAAATATGGCTAGGGAACCTTGGTGTTAGCTCACAGAATTATCAAAAGATTAAAAAAGAGCTTGTTCCACTTGTTCTGTTTCACATGAATCTAGGATCACTTCCTCTCCTTGTACACAAGCGCATCCTAAAGCTGCTCTTCCTCTTGCTGCAAGACAAGACAGTATTATCAAGAGCTTAAAAAGAAGCTATATTACATGAATCTAATCGACGATTAATTACATAATATTCTTCGTTTCTTTGTATAAAAAACACACCCTGAACCTGAACCTTGTCGATACCTCACAGAATTATCAAAACCCTAACAACAAGCTTGTTTGGTTCGTTTCTATTTCACATGGTACAAGGCGATAATCACATATGATCGTCCCCTGTTTGTTGAACACGCATATCCTGAAACTGTCCTTCTGCTTGTGGCAAGCCTAGGCACATCACTAAAGCTTGTGAATCTTAGCGCGCTAAACCTTGTAAGCTTTAGCGCAAGCTCACAAGCGTACCATCCTCGAGGTGCTCTTATCGCATATCCGCGAGAGCAGATACCGGTGTCTCACTGGCGTCGTCATCTTTAACCACGTGAAATCCAGCTGGGTACGACAGATACCCGCGAACGTACCGTCACTTGCGGTACTGCCACTGTCAGTGAGGTCCACTCTTCGTCGCGAACTCGCTCTTCTTGCAGTATCAGTCGCGGTCGCGAACCTAACACATATACCGACGAACCCACAGACAGCCGCGCTTAGTCGTACCGAAAGCTGGGTGGTGACACAGCTGTCGCGAAAATAGGTACCTGTAGTGGTGGTGACCCAATCCAGGACAGAGAAAAGTTCACCAAGAGCAGGTCGCCCGGAAAGAGACGCCGTAGATACCGGATACTCACCTGACAACCGGAACCCCTGCAAGGATTAGTTGAGGAGCTTCGTGCCAGTAAGTGCCATGAAAAATAATATTGAGTACTACTTACCAGTAAACAGAAATACATTTAAAATAAAACAGATACCGTTTTGAAAATAGACCAGGCTAGTAGGTATCATTAAAAATAATGTTGGGTTCTACTTACCAGTAAAATCCATTATGCATGTGTAAGAAGAAGAAATCTGATAATATAGGTACCGCTTAGATTGAGCTTGGAACCTTAATTACTCTTAGATGAAACTAGATGTATTTTTGAGCGACACAAACAGAAAACAAGACAAGATTGGGCGCTCTTAAGAAGGGATTGACAAAGTGATCATTTTTAAAATACTTACCTGATTAGTTTTATTCGCAAAGTGGTAATGGGCAAAATTTTTTCAGAATCTTAAATGAAGACTCTATGAGATACAGCTAAAGATAAATACTTTTTTGAACGTAAAGTATCAGTATCATGAGCGTTGCTGTTTACCATTAAATAGAAAGGACTCTAGGCAGAACTATACTAACGAGTAAGTATAGCGATCTGGATAAATGAAAATATTATCATTTAGAAGATAAAGACGTAGAAAATATGAGCTTATAGATAGTGAGGGAAACGCAGCTAACTGTATTATTTTTCATTCTAAGAGCTGTAGAAGTATGAAGTTGGCTTATGATCTGAAGGTGGTCGGAGCTTGAATTGCATATTAATGCAAAAAACTCTTAGTAGGCATCTTTCTCATGCAGAACCGAAATGAAGTATTTCTAATTCAAAATATTTTCAAAGTGCGGAGGTGTCGGAGTTTTGACATAGAAATTCGGGTTACTTCACATTATATTGCTTGGATTTTGTGTTAGGGCTCATTAAAACAAATGACGGGAAGAAATTTAAAGTCGGTATTACATAATAATCCTCAGTCTTTTAGAAATCGAAAATTGATGTAGCCACTCTGCGAAATTAGTCACTGAAGCTAGATAAATAATAAAGGTACCACTTAGCAAGATAATGTATAAATGTAGTTTATAATTTCATATTGAATCATTGAATTTCTTTTTTAAAGGAATTAGGATGACTTTTCCATTTGTCTGTCTTCCCTCTTAAGTTATAGTCAAGTGACCCTTCTTCTATACTAATGCAGCACAGGAACATTCTATGTAGACTTTTCAATTTCCCTACGTCTCCCTCATCATTCATAAGCATTTTGCTACATGCCTTCATTGTCTGGAAGTCAATGAACTACTATTGCTAAATAAAAGGTTTTGATTCTATCACTATCATAGTCTGACGCTCAGTTCTGCAATTTTTCAAAACTTTGAACGGGTGTTGCTTTCTGAGAGAGATGGCATCAAACTCGTAATGTACGTAAATATAATGTGGAGCATTTTGTTAAAAATATAATATTGACTACAAATGCCTTAATTAATTTGTTGAAACCGGCTGATTAGTATTACAATATTTTTATATAATAAAGACATGTTTAATAAAATATTGACACGCTTAATGGGATCAAGTACGTGTTTTACAATATTTTTGCAAGATAAGGAATATTTATAGAGGTTTCGATTATACTCTTGCCATAATAAAAATCACGCTCATATGGTCTTTCATTATCTAAGACTATATATATTTTTATGCAAAACACTTTGAACAGTTCCCGCAACACAACGCTGGCCGCCAAATGAAAACACGGTTGTAGAATTGAAGGATTGCAGACGTTTCGGCTACATCCGAGGCTTTCTCAAAGTACAAATTAGAAAATATTTTTATTGCGAGACAACAAAAAATGGTTTGTGATTTGTACCTCGTAAGGTAGCCGAAATGTTAGTATCACTGGTGTTGTGTCACAGCTGGTAAAATGATTTATATTTTACACCTCTATATCTTCAATTGTAAAGCTCATATGCGTTTAAACAGGATTTATACTTAGAAAAGCCCTTAGAAACACCGTAGGTGGCAAATTGAGTCGTACACATTTGTAATTGTCACTGACGGTATGACATTTTCCTTGTCAAGAGCGTGCTACAATGTGGATAATATATTGGAGTATTTTTAGAAGGCGTATGAAAATAATTTCAATTTTTATAAAATTCAGAAAGCAGGAACTGAAATGAATGGATTTGCGAACACATGAAACATGTTTGTCAAACAATTACGGATGCCAAAAATTGGGACAGAGTAGTACAAAGTACACTCTGTAAGAATTTACAAACGCAGGTCTGTGAAAAAGAAATTTCAAGTGGAAGCTAAAAATCCGCCATATCGACCTTGCGACATTTTGGTATACCAAATGACACTTGGACTATCAAGAGAAATCTAAAACAAATTGAATGTCAAAATCTATGAAATCTTTTGAGCTGTAGCCTGTGGAATAGGAATTTCATGATTGATTCTATTTCAAAACCGCCATTTCATTTTTATAAAGGCTTATGATGCCACTGACTCTCGCACTGCTAAGACGAATCCAACAATATCTTATTATGTCAAAATCCATCAAGCTGTTTGGCCTGTAGCTTGTGAAATAGAATTTTTTCTATACATTGATACATGGCCACGCACGAAAAACAAAACCCTCCCTCTGAGTGTTTGTGAAAGAGCAAGTAGCAGTATCTGGCCTTGCGCATTGTGCAGTTTCCCTCAGGGGTACAGTTAGTCAATTTGTTTACTTATTCCGTATGACATTGTGACATAACCGCCCAAAAACCGTGAAAAGAACTAACTGTATGTCAGTGCAATGTTTAGGAAAGCATAATGATGAATAAGTTTTCCTCCCCTGACCTTTAAAAAATTGTTATTTTCTCTTACAAAATAAATTGACGTTTCTCTTTAGTAACATGCCTCTGATTCAAAAATGTTTTGTATCTCAAGTTCAAGCTATACAAAGCTGGTAACTTATATCCTGTCACATATGCTTTGATAATCCTCAACGCAGGCTAACTAAACACAAAGCTTCAACAATAACAATATTAATCATCACTCCACACCATGCACTATTATGTTTACAAGCAGAGAAAAAAATCAGTGCTGATATCTCCAACGAACAGTTTATTAAACGATCTTATGAACTCTGAGTTTTTTCAAGCATTAATTAGATACGTTAAGCTTTTGCCGGCCAATCAAGACAGCTTGGTTTGATAATAAATGAAAATCGATATTTTGTCCGATTGGAGATGAAAGTTCAGTTTATCGGGAAGATCATGAGGTGCGTTTGCTTTGATCACAATGCTTCTGGTGCTACGGACCATCGGTAAGTTATTTTTTTATGAAGATTCGCAGCAATCCTTCCGGAGATCCGAGTATTTCCCCTAGAAAATTGAACTGGGGCAATAAAATACTAGCCGCATTTGAATAAGATACTACATTTCCATCTAAAAGCACCCGTGGGATAGGTATATACCATATGTCCGAAGTTGATTTTTTTGACAATTCAATAATAAAGCATTTATTCAGCATAAGAGCTACATAAAAGTACACGTTTGCCTTATTACAATAATAGAAATAGAAAAAAGCATTGTACTTTTAAATGCAAAAATTGAATAGAAAGTGTAATCCTTCACAAAACAAAAAGAATCGTAAAATAAATATACAAACCCTAATTTAAAAATAGTCCTACGAATACAAATACAAATACAAGGGGTGCTGATAATTTTAGATTAAAAAGTAGGCAGAGATATAACTTACGTAGTAAAATGTAAAAACACAAAACAAAACAGGTATAAATAAAATTGTACAAATAAAGTAGGTAAAACTGGGCTAAAATGTGCAAAATTAAAATAAACAGAATACAACTTATCTAAAACAAATTTTCTTAGGAGCCGTTTGAACCGGATCAGGTTATCACAGTTTTTGTTATCAAATATAAAACCGAGTTTAGCATTTGGGTCGAATTGCACCGTTCTAACAAAATAAAATCTGTACGATTTCTCGTAGGACAACCATGTATATCGCTCAAGATCTTCAATCTATCACATAAATAGTTAGGTAACAAATTATCTTTAACTTTGAAAATAAATAGATACACATTAAATATAACCCTTTGTTTCACAGACAACATATTTAGAACACTCAACATACATTCAATTGGCGTATACAAGTTACATTTCAAAATCTGTCTCATAGCTCTGTTTTGAATTTTCTCCATTTGATTTATCTTATACTGTGGCAGATTAAACAATAAAGTGGAACAAAACTGTAAATGTAGGAGAGCAATAACATTATAAAGTTGTAATTTTGTATGCATGGTTAAACGTTTACCTATTTGCGTTACAAAACCGACTTTTTTTTTAAATTTTCGCATTACACTATCAGCATGAGATTACAATCCAATATAATGCCTAAGTAATTAATTTCCCTATTATAAACAATACTTCCCCCATTCACAGCAATGTGCCCATTTTGAATTTCCGCTTCCCTAAGTTTTGATTTCTTACTAAATATGCAAAATTTCGATTTATCGGCATTCATAGTTTGTTAACACACAGCCAATTAAAAATTCGTTCTAAATCATCATTTAAATCTTTCTGCATTTGCTGTAAGTTCTTACCTATAGTATAAAGCAAATAGAACAATTTTATAATTTATTGTTACTCCAACTATATCATTGATATAAATCAAAAATAACAACCATCCCAGAACCGTTCCTTGCGGTTCACCATATTTAGCATTAACAGGCTCGGACAGAAAGTTCTTATAAGAAACACCTTGAACTCTATTATCCAGATATGATTTAAACCACTTTGAAACAGCATGATTGATTCCTATATGCTCGAATTTACTTAATAGAATATCCCTATCTACTGTTTCAAAAGCTCTCCTAAAATCTAGAAAAACGGCTAATACATAGTTATCTCAGTCGATGGCCTTAAGAAAATCATCACAAATACCAACAATAACAGACAGACTCGCAAGAATGATTCTTTCTAAATCCTGATTGGTTAGGAACAATAATTCTATTAGTATCACAGGAACGTAGCAACTGTTCTTTAACTGCAACTTGTAAAACCTTCTCATATGTGGGCACTGTATTTATTGGACGAAATTCATTATATAATTTTGTGAAATTCACCTTAGGAACAGGAATGACAGTTCGGAAACGGAAATTGGTCGTTGCTGAAAATAATGGATGTTTCAATTTCATAGAAAACATGTATAGTTCTGGATTTAGTTCAGATGACGGTGTGAAGGACACTATCATCCGACTAATGGCGGTTCTGATAGTAACCCTTAGGAGAGTAACTCAGGCGAGAAAATAAATTTGAGGCTTTGACTTTACTGCCGTTATAGACGTGAATTATGCTTTTGGTACGTAGAAAAACTATTTTTTGTGTTAATTCTACAATACCGTAGAGTATGAGTCAAAACCACCTATTTATCAGAATAAATCATTATCCTTATTAAGAACGACCATCGTAGACCGCAAATAACTTTAAAACGTGGTAATAATATGTAATTTTCTGATGAGTTTCTTACGTTCTTCCTGACCAAATAAATTTATCGGTGTGGCATTCATATTTTTTTCGAAATAGAGGACGT